TTTTCTATTATACACATAAATACAATTATTATTAAGAATATTATAAGCTAGAATATAATTATACTATTATGGCAAAAAAAAAATATATATATATATAATCTTATAAAACATGATTACATATATGTTCAATTACATAATTCAATTAAATCGTCTTGTACATGTATATGCAAATATGTTATAATTTGAAAGAATCACTTCAAAGTTTTAATCTCATATTTATTGTCTCATTTTGTCCTTGTTTATTATATCACATTAAAAATAGTATTATTAATGAAAATGATAGACAATCAGTATACTTGTTTAATTTTCTTATCAAGTTGGTGATCTTATCTCTGTGAGGAGATATATTTTTAAAATCACTCATTCTGCTTATTGATTATTTTCCGACACCCGAGGATTTCAGAGAAGGTGTTTTTGTTTGATAAAAGGTATTTTATCAAATATACTTACGATACTCCTTGTCGAAAACAAAATTTTCTGATGATATTGATAAGAATAAAGTTGCTATCGTTGACAGCACTTCTTATCAGCCAGCTGATTCCGCAGCTGGCAAACGGGGGGGCGCAACCAGCGGCTCTCTCTTACTATCCTCCCTCCTCTTTCTCTACCACCACCGCCTACGTTCAAGTTGAATTCAACATTGACCGCCGACGGACGAGCTCCGTGTTTCGCGCAGTATATACAAAAGACGCGCACCAATATGGAAAAGTGAATTGGAGCTTGGCACGCCATCGCTCTCATTACTCATCGTGCGCGTGTGGAAGACTTAGCCGCGTAATGCGAACATTACGTTCACGGGGCACGTTCGGGGTGCATGAGCGTTAGCATGAGCATCTCTCAAGACAGCGCTGCTACGATCGTGTGCAGGGAGGTTTTCGATGAGACGTCTCATCCGACAAACGAAGGTACGTGGAAGTAGCCAATAAGCCTCCAATAGTTTTGCTGCCTTCCACCTTCGTGTCATTCACGATCATAGCCGGACATTCGACGAAATTGAACTCGTCGATTATTGGAACAGTCGCTTTATTTAGGAATAGGGCGTTCATTGCCCGAAGCTGATCGATGCTCCCGTCGTTTCCTACCTACGTAGCGCCCTACATCTTTCTCATATAATATAATTCTACGCAATTCCTGTGAGCTCCACTGTGTCTTTTCTACGCGGACGATTGGAAGATTTGTTATGTGTCGTCCATCTGATTGAACAAATCATACTTGAAGTGGTTATTATCGAAAAACTTGGTCATCGTGCATGTTACACAGTGTACAAAATATATAAGTGAAAAAATTAATTATTGCTTTTTTTTTAAATTGGTCAATGACTGGAAACTCGAATTCTCTCTACTACAATAGAATCACCGTATTTAGGCCATGATGATTTCATTTTGATATCCTGTGAAATATTATCCATTTTCTTGAGCCCTATTTCACCACATTTCGACATCTCAACTTTTTGCACAAATATTAAAACGTTTTTTATACCTATGTATTTTTAAATCTATTTTTATGCTATTTTTAAATCTATCTTATACTAATGACAAAAATTGATGAATTTTGCTTGAATGAAATTCTTTATTAAGAGCTTAATAATTTTGTTGATTCTTTTATAAATCAAATGTTTCCCCACGTTTACTCGAACGTATATTATATCGCGAATTATTTCTTCTATTCTAAATGATTTGTACATTTGTGTAACCATTACGCTCTTTTAGATTTGAAAAACGAGCAATCAAAGAAATTTGTTATCGCATAAAAACAAAGTAAATAAACTGTGTTTCTGAAAAAATATGCCACTCCTAATTAGCCTAAAGGCAAAGAAAAGTGTAAAAGAGACCTAGTGGCAAGTTTCCTTGTTTATTTACATCGCGCCAAGCGGGAATGCTGAGCCCGTTTCCCAGCACGCTCCGGAAAATCAATAATTCGCAGTGCGGCGAAAGTTTTGTCATAGCATTCGATCATCTTTGCGCCACTCTGGTCGAATAAACCTGTCTTACCCATCGATCAAAGCTTTTCAAATTGTCTGCAGATTTTGGAACGATGGTTTTTCTGTCGGACTTCCATTTGTAAGAGTTAATACCTAGTACAGCACCAGGAATAGATATCGATGAAACCAGCAAAAATGAGAACCAACACTTTGACTGGCGACGCGAGGGCAGATGGTGGTTCGACTTGCCCCATACGACGACCACCACCACC